GTGGGGACGCTTTAACAAAGTCTCTCCGATATAAAAGATCTTAGTCCCTCGATGACCCTTACAATGATGCCTTCAGTAAACGATCTTAGTCAGTTACGATAAATTGCTAAAGCGCCCCTACGAGTTACCTTTATGACTGTATGATGATCCTCTCCTGTCCCTTCACATCCAATGATAGGGCTTCCTACTAATTAATGGTAGGATAGCACTATCTAAAGGAGGAGGAAAATAACACGAAAGGCTTTTGAATAGGTAGATAGCTCGTAATCACTTGCTCACAAAAACATCTCTTTTACACAAAACACTTTTTTCTGAAATACTTTCAAAAACAAACATTTTGTACACGTTCTTAACTTATACAAGAATCATTACAAAGTTTCCGCACTTAGACATTTTCAAAATATTTTCAAACACATACAAAAAGCATTTCAAACAAAGTGAGCTAGCGATTAAGAGCCCATAGATAACTACGGATGAAAAGGGTGCTAACACCTTCCCTTTTCATAATCTACCCCCCAAACTCAGAAAATTCTCAAAGGTCTTTTCTGTTCTTTTCATCCTTTCCTTTCTGGATAAAAGAAAAGTCGGTGGCGACTCTTACTATCCGCAACATTTGCGATAAAACACAAAACCAAGTCAATTCTTCCATCGTATTACACACATTTTTTATGGAAGTAATCAAGTAGTTCTTGTATTTTAAGTATTTCACACTCTCCAAATATACTTCAAACATCTTGGTACATTTACTAATAGACATCAGGCCTTGACCCTGAGGCGAACGAGTGGAATTGCATTGAGCTTTTATAGAGGTGTAAGAAGAGTGGCTTAGTCGACACAACTTTCTTGTATTCATGCAAATATTGGAAGATCTTGATGTAATCTCATCTCAATGAATGTAATTGCAAATGGGAGATTAGTAAATTATTAAGAACTCCTATCTCTAAATTGTTGTAGGGGAGGCGAAAACCTATCAAAGAGAACATGCATTCATGGTGGGGAATAACACACTCGTCGAATTTACTGCATATCCTCTTGCCTTCCTCAGAGAATAATTGCTTAGTCTTCAGATGGTCTCCCTGATGTGAAAGCATGGTCCAAACCGTCTTCAATAGCAAAGACATAAGTTGTATCCAATTTCTCTTGATCCACCCACACTGACAAGTTATCCCCTATCGCCTTATGAAATTCAGGTTGAAGGCCTTCTATTATTAAGGGTATGCCATCACATAAAAAGGAATAAATACAAACATATTTCCAAGACAAACTTAAAGGTAAATATGACGTCATATCAAAGTGCATCTACGACAAAGGGTTAGCCAAAATGAAAAACAGAAAAATCAGAAGCCATTGGCCCTCTTATCTAGAAACCCTAATAAGGAAATCAAGGTCGAAAGAAATAGAGACTTAGGAGTTTCCTTAAAAGAGATACATTTGAGAGCTCATGTGCTGAAAGAATGGGCGTGAACTAGTCAAAGATGAAGACTTGTGCAGGGATGCTGACAACAATGGGAAAAATTGAAAATGAAGAAGAAGATGGAGAATTTCTCAAACCCACAAGTAGAGGAAAAAAAAGAAGATTAGTAGTCTATGAACTTAATATTCACATTTCTATTATAGTGAAGCGTGCAATCTACCACATTGATAAGTGTGAGCCGCACCGCTAACAATCAAGGTCTCATCGTGAATTGTTCAAAATTATTCTAGTGTCCTAGAACAAAGGGAACATCATTACCATAAAAAATAGGGACACGCATTAGAAATTCCTTATGAAACATCAATAATCAACAGAGAAACCTTTAATGAACATGCTCCCATTTCTAATGACGTTCCATCAAGATCCTTCACTTACCTTGGCTAAACAACTGACCTAAAGATATATCGTGCAAGCCTTTGTTCTACATAATAGATGAAGGGTTGAGGGGAAAGTATTGCATCATTCTCAAAGCCCCACTACTACAAAATATATATTGGGTAACACCATACTACTATGGTCATCTAAATAACTGTATTAATAACTGATTTTCGCTCAACTAAATTTTTTAATATTTTATTAAAATATATTTTATCACGGTCTTTAAACACAACCATTGTGATGTATTAAGGTTATTTGCTTCGATTCCCAGCACCAACAATTTTTTATTCTTTCTGTTACAAAAGGGGTTATCATTATACTCTTATAAATATATTAAAATAAAAATATTTATCATCACAGTTAATAGCAGAAACCATTGTGAATAGTACTTATATATTATCTCAGTTATTTTTAACAGTCATGGTGATAAGTTTTATATGTATAAGCGAAGTTATCAAGTTTTCCCTTAGAATAGTTGTCACTCTCAAAACAAAACCCTAACAACGCTCTCTTCCTCATGCAGCGAACTTGTCCTCATAATCATCTTCAAACTTAAAGGTAATTAAGTTCACCCACTTTCTCTTTTGTCTGCTTCTTCATAAGTTTTCTTCCATGTTATTCATACGTTTTTTTTCCTTTTTTTCTCAAAACAAAATCCTAACATCTCTCTCTTCCAATGCAGTGAACTCGTTCTAATAAAATTCTTCAAACTAAAAGTTAATCAAGTTCATACACTTTATATTTCTATTTCTTCTCCGTTAGCTTTCTTCCAGTTTTCACATTTGTTCCATGTATACACTAGTTCTTCTTAAAAAAGGTTTTTCATTTGGCGTGATTTACTACTTTTTGGTTTATATTTCCATTTATGTTAAGATGTTGTTAATGCTAGTTTATGTTTCCAAAACAAGTTAACATTCCGAAAGATGTTTATATTTCAAAATTTGGTTCAATGAAGCACATACTATGAGCATGGTTCATAAATGGTTTGTATTGCTATGGAGAAATAATATACGAAGTATGAAGTTATTTTGGAAACTTCATCCTCCTTATATTTTTTCTTCATAGCAACAAAAAGTAGATCAACTTCATATCATTCCACAAATCTTTTCAATAAAAGATATGTTGTTGTTGTTTTGTTGATAAACGTTGATGTATGTTGTTGTTGATAAATATTTCTCAAAAGATCCAGTTGAGTTTATTATATCATATGTAGATTGTCTGTTTCACCAACCCCTCCCTGAACATGCATTCATTTAAATTGATTTAGAAAATAATAATTTGAAAATTAAGTTATATTTGAAAACCAACTTAGACCATTCAATGTTTTTCGAATTGCATGGATCTCGTAATTCATCTGTCTCTCTTTAACACGTAGAACTTGGTTCAATGCTCCCAAATTCTTCAAAACAATTATTTGTTCTCTTTTATTTTATATTGCAAAATATCAAATTTGTTGAGAAATTGAATCATCTTCATTGTTGTCATCATAATAATCATCACAATCGATTAAAATAAGGATGATGATAGCGACGGTGACGTTCCAAATTAGTCAACATATTGATGCTTTACAAAATAAACTAGGAATGAATCATTGCTTTGAAGAACTTGGGGCGTTGGACCAAATTTTATGTGTTAAATAACAATAGATGTATTACGATATGCATGCAATTTGAAAAGCAATGGTTTGTTTAAGATGTTTTTCAAGAATAATTTAATTTTTTAAATTACTATCTTCTATATCAATTTTAATAGTTGTATATATTTAGTGAAGTGTAGGAAAAAACAAATATTCCATATATTTTATAATAAACTCAGGATACATACCACAACATTTATCTTTTGTAACTGTGGTGAAATGTTAATTATATTTTAAATAAATTGTTGCGACTGGGTTTCGAACCCATGACCTAAATATATATCACAATAGTTATTTAATATAATTGTTGTTATAGGTAGTGCACTACCTAGTTTATCACCATTGTCACACGCCTGTTGTAGAAACCAACATACGTACAACCACCTCTTACCTCATAGTGATATCCCTTTTTCAATCGTTGTAAAAAGACTTTTATGTAGTAGTTCGTAGAGAAAGTCTCAAGATTTAATCCTTAGTGGAAAGGCACATAGAGCAAGTATACTCTCATTATAACCAACAACTGGATATTGTGCCTTCCAGCACGTCATTCACCATGACGTTGTTTGCACACAACATGCCATATCATATGTAAACAGTTTCAAATACTGCCATATCATATGTAAACAGTTTCAAATACTCTTAGTATATAAAGGTAAGATGCGTCATTTCATTTCATGTATTTAAATTCATTATCACTTACATTTTACTTATGCTTCATTTCATGTATTTAAATTCATTATCACTTACATTTTACTTATGCTTTTTTTCACTGATTTAGACGTTGAAATGTTAACCTTGCTGGTCAACCACTTCTCCACCTAAACAGAAGTATAAATCCACCGTAGCAAGACGCGACTCCGTTAGCTCCCCAATCTTTTCTAGATCCAAACTGAATAGAAATGATGATATAAAATTAACTTAGAGATTCTAGCTAATGTATGCTACATTAGCTTAAAATATTCATCACATTTTATTAAAAATATGAATATTAAAATTTTTAAAGGAATAAAATCAGGAGACCCAAAGTAGAATTAAGCCTAGTAGTGATAATGGGGAGCAATATTCATTGACATTATTTACTCGAATAAGTGACATATGATAAACTCATATTGTAGACTCCACATTCTCCTCGAAAGAGTCTAAGTATCCCAACATGCATGTCTGTTCTTATCATGATTGAGGGGGAAAAAATCAACAGTCTATTTTATTATATATATATATATATATATATATATATATATATATATATATATATATATATATATATATATATATATATATATATATATATATATATATATATATATATATATATATATATATATATATATATATATATATATATATATATATATATATATATATATATATATATATATATAGTATACCTGAAAGGCCAGATATAAAGTCCTAGAAATCTAGCTTTTTTAGCTTATTTGAATTCGTTTGTTTTCTGCTTCTTCCTTTTGTTCAGGAGCCATTTCGATTAGCTCTCTTTATTATTAATCAAATATGAAACTAAAAAATGGGTTACTATTGTTTCTGTTTGTGGAGTGTGCTTTTTTCAAAGTGGACTCAAAGTGTGTGAAAGGGTGTGATATAGCTTTAGCTTCTTACTATGTCATGCCTTTAGTTGATCTCCCAACTATAACAAATTTCATGCAATCAAAGATTGTTACCAACTCTTCTAATATTTTAAATAGTTACAATAAAGTCTTAGTAACCAATCATGGTAATATTTTTTCCTATTTTAGAATCAACATTCCATTCCCATGTGAATGTATTGGAGGTGAGTTTTTAGGACATGTGTTTGAATACACAACAAAGAAAGGAGATACTTACGATTTGATTGCAAATAATTATTATGTAAGTTTGACTAGTTTTGAGCTTTTGAAAAAGTTCAATAGTTATGATCCAAATCATATACCTGCTAAGGCTAAGGTTAATGTCACTGTCAATTGTTCTTGTGGGAATAGCCAGATTTCAAAAGACTATGGATTGTTTGTTACTTATCCGTTAAGGTCTATGGATACTCTTGAGAAGATTGCGAACGAGTCTAAACTAGATGAAGGGTTGATACAGAATTTCAATCCTGATGTTAATTTCAGTAGAGGAAGTGGGATAGTGTTCATTCCAGGAAGAGGTATGTATTTTGTTTTTATTCTTCTTCTAAGTATCTGTAATGGCTTTTATCAAAGTCTTATTTATTTTTAACTTTTGCAGATAAAAATGGAGAATATGTTCCTTTGTATCCTAGGTAGGCAACTTTGATTATCTCACTTCTCAAGTTGAGTTCTTCATAGAAAAAGTAAATTTGCTTCGTATTTGTTTCTAACTTTTATTTTTTTTTCCCTCTTGCAGAACAGGTTTTGCTAAGGGTGCAGCTGTTGGTATATCGATAGCAGGAGTATTCGGGCTTCTATTATTTGTTATTTGTATATATGTCAAATACTTCCAGAAAAAGGAAGAAGAGAAAACTATTCTGCCCCAAATTTCTAAGGTGCTTTCAACTCAAGATGGTAATGATAGTTTTTGTGAAAGTAACTTATGATACTGTTAAAAGTTTAGTATTTATTTATTTCAATAAGTTTTCTGCGATAACTTGTGAAAACAACTTTCTGTTCTTGGTGAAACCTCAGGTAGTGGAGAATATGAAACTTCAGGATCTAGTGGGTATGGTACTGGTAGTGCTGCTGGGCTTACAGGAATTATGGTGGCAAAGTCAACAGAGTTTTCATATCAAGAACTAGCTAAGGCTACAAATAACTTTAGTTTGGATAATAAAATTGGTCAAGGTGGATTCGGAGCTGTCTATTATGCCGAACTCCGAGGCGAGGTATGAAACTGCAGTGACTAATTTTTATTTTTTGTTAGTGTTTGATATCTTATCCTCTTATTCAAATTATTCTATGCAGAAAACAGCAATTAAGAAAATGAATGTACAAGCATCAACAGAATTTCTTTGTGAGTTGAAGGTCTTAACACATGTTCATCATTTGAATCTGGTATAACATCCTTCAAACTACTTAATTCAATGTTTTTCATTGTTAAAATCTTTGTTAAGCTTTTTGCATGAACAGGTTAAATTTATGTTATGAACCATGTTCTGAATTTACCTAAATTTTTATGAACATAGGTGAGGTTGATTGGATATTGTGTTGAGGGATCGCTTTTCCTTGTATACGAACATATTGACAATGGAAACTTGGGTCAATATTTGCATGGTTTAGGTAAGATCAGCAAGAAAAGTGCTTATATTTTTCTGTAATCTTACAATATTGTCAAACAGTTATCAATGACAGTGACATCATTCCAGGTAAAGAGCCATTACCATGGTCTAGTAGAGTCCAAATTGCTCTAGATTCTGCAAGAGGCCTTGAATACATTCATGAACACACTGTGCCAGTTTATATCCATCGCGATGTAAAATCAGCAAACATATTGGTAGACAAAAACTTGCGGGGAAAGGTAGCATTATAACCAATCTAAACGATCTTCTTTTCAAAATTTTCTTTATTTGTTAAGATTAATTAAACTATGAGTGACTTAAACTCAGGTTGCAGATTTTGGCTTGACCAAACTTATTGAAGTTGGAAACTCCACACTTCACACTCGTCTTGTTGGAACTTTTGGATACATGCCACCAGAGTATGATTTATTTTTCCTTATATTATATTTCGAGCGCACAGTTTTTGCATGATTAATCAGTAAAGTGGAATTCTCTTGGTTTACTAACTAGCTGAATTGTTTTGCAGATATGCTCAATATGGTGATGTTTCTCCGAAAATAGATGTATATGCTTTTGGAGTTGTTCTTTATGAACTAATTTCTGCAAAGAATGCTGTTCTGAGGACAGGTGAAGTATCGGTTGCTGAATCAAAGGGTCTTGTAGCCTTGGTAGATTCTCATTTATCCGACAAAATCATTTTTACTTAGAAAACACTCAATTCATATACTTTTTCATAATCAAGTGTTAATTAGTACCTTAGCTGTTATGAATTAACATTGACTTGTTTTTATTGCAGTTTGAAAAAGCACTTAATCAAATTGATCCTTCAGACGCTCTTTGCAAATTGGTGGATCCTAGGCTTAAAGAAAACTATCCAATTCATTCTGTTTTAAGGATGGCTGAACTTGGGAGAGCATGTACAAGAGACAATCCACTACTACGCCCAAGTATGAGATCTTTAGTTGTTGATCTCATGACACTTTCATCACCATTTGAAGATTGTGACGATGACAACTCCTATGAAAATCAAACTCTCATAAATCTATTGTCAGTGCGATGAAGGTTCTTTGTGCTAAATTGAATGATGTTTGTTAAAACTGAAGTAGTTGGGAAGTTTTTACTTTGTGTTCAAAGTTTATTTCCCAAAACAGTCTAAAGGTCCTACATCTCAAAACAACTTCCTGTAATTATTTTTAGTGAAGTTGTAACATTGAAGTAAAATTTGCATATAAGTGTTTTTCTTAAATATTGATTATGTAATGTGTTTTTACACTAAAATTGAAGTGCAAGGACATCATTGATTGTTGACAGTCAAAATATTAGTACTACTGATTAACATGATATTCGGGCATTATTCGTTTTTTCCAATAGCTGAAAAGTTGTTTCTTTGCTTTCAAATTTGATGCTTTCGAGTTCAGATTGGTTTAGCTATGCAACGCGATTAATAATATTTTAAATTAGATGCTTGGTGACAGACTTTGATATTATTTTCTTCATACAAATCACAAGAAATGGGTTACTGCAACAACAAGTTTGCAAGTAAGGAATTGATGAGATAAGAAAATGTACAATTAACATATATTTCTTTACATAAAGTTATTTAATTTGTATACAAAGAAGATTCCAATTACACATTGATAGTCTTACAGCTCATGATGTGAATATTTTATTTTTGCTTTCAAATGTACATAAGATAAGATTCTAAATATATACATTTAGCCTAACTAGTATATATATGATGACTAATTAATTTATATAACATTAGCAATAAACATGGAATTAGAGATGAATTGGATTGATGAAATCAACAATGAGATAAAGAGCAGTGGTCCTTCAATATCTGATGAGATGGAACAATGGAAGAAGCATTCAATATACAAAATACCCTCAATAGTAACAAATCTAAACAAAAAAGCCTACAAACCACAAGCAATTTCATTTGGTCCTTATCATTATGGAGAGGAACATTTAAAAGCTATGGAAGAACACAAGCATAGAGCACTTGTTCATTTCTTAAAGAGATGTCAAAAGTCCATTGAGTTGGTATTCCAAGAAATGGAACAAGTGGTTCAAGAGTTGAGAGACTCATACAAGCCACTTGATCCAATTTGGATATCAGATACACCAAAGTTTGTTCAAATGATGATTCTTGATGGTTGCTTTATTTTGGAGATTTTGAGAAACAATGATTGTGTTGTAGATGATTATGCTGAAAATGATCCTGTCTTTGGTGAACATGGGAAATTTTATATTTTGCCATATATTAAGCGTGACATGCTTATGCTTGAGAATCAAATTCCTATGATGGTTTTACATACATTGATTCAACTTGAAACTAGAACTGAGCTAGAGCAGGTAAATTATTGATGTCAATTTCCAATATACATATTTTAGGCTTTTCTTCTTATTTTGCCTTATTTTTATTTGGTCGAAAACATGAATCATTACAGGAAGATGATCATGAGTTAGTAAACGAGAAAATCGTGAAATTATTAAACCCAAGCACACCTTTAATCCAAAGCTTAGGAAAATGCATGCACATATTGGACGTGTATAGAAAAAGCCTAATTCAACAAGGACCAAGCCACCCAACACGCATGCCAAAAGCATCAAAAAGAAACTGGTTAACTTTAGAAGCAGGAGAAGAGATTATTCGATCAGCAGTAGAGCTTCACGAGGCAGGAATCCGCTTCAAGAAAAGCAAAACATGGAGTCTCAAAGACGTTTCATTCGATCGAGGAGTTCTTAGGCTTCCAATTTTGGTTGTAGATGACACCACTGAATACATGCTTCTTAATCTCATCGCCTTCGAGCGTCTTCACGTTGGAGCAGGTAACGAGATAACATCGTTTATATTCTTTATGGACACCATTGTTGACAATGCCATGGATGTTGCACTTCTTAACCGAAATGGGATCATAATCAATGCTCTTGGAAGTGATAAAGTTGTTTCAAAATTGTTTAACTCGTTGTCGAAGGACATAACAGTGGATCGACATGGAGTACTTGATGTGGTGAGGATGAGTATGAGTGACTATTGCCAGAAACCATGGAAAAGATGGCGCGCTAATCTTATTCAAACTTATTTTAGAAATCCCTGGGCTATTGTTTCTCTTGTTGCTGCTATTTTCCTTTTTGCTCTTACTATTGTTCAGACTGTATATTCAGTTCGTCAATTTTATCAAAGTCCAAGTCCATGTCCGAGTCCGAGCCAAGCTAAGTCACCTATTTTACCAGTTACCCCAAGGCCTCACCACCATCTTCTATAATAATCACCTACCTAAATACTTTGTTTTCTCTTTTAGTTTATATATTTCTGTAATTTGTTTTCATTTTGAACATTTTATGAATTTGTGTATTACTTTGGCTTTAAATGGAAGGGTCAAGGAGTGACTCTTGTCAAACTTATTTGATGGTTGAGACATATATAAACTAAATACTTAGTGAAACAAAATGTATTCAAATTTGTAGACATGAGACTGTACAAATAAGGATGAATGGTTTAAAATAATTTGTTAAAGCCACTCATACCAGCAAGTTGCATAATCCTTTTGGAAGGCTTGGATGTAAACATTTCATATGAAGTATGATACAGTATACTAAAAAATTCAAACAGCTACCCAGAAGATGGTTTTAGCACCGCCTACTTAAGATTATGGCTGTTCAAAAAAATCATTAGTCGAACCGAATTGAATTGAAGTTAAAACAACTGAACTATTATATCGAGCCAAACTGAAGTGTCTTAAGCTAAGTAAGATGTACCTTCCCTAGAAGGACACATCTTTTAACATTTCTAAGATACATATATTATTCTAATTCTAATAACCTCTCACTTTCAACCGTTAATGATTTTGACGTTAGAATATTTGCAAGTTTCTCTCGTGCCGCCCAACCAGAGCATCAACGCCAAAATCTTCATAAGAGTTCGTCATAGAATCTTTGTTCACTCTCATTTATGAACTAAATAGGTCTTTCCTATACCAGAATATACATTAAAAGTTAATGAGAATAGTTTAATATAAATTTCTTATTTTTTTATAATTTTATTGTTTTTTTTAGTATTTCACCATAAATATAGTCCGGTTCCGGATAGACTATGGCATTAAGTATTTTTGTTTGTGTAAAAACTAAACTAACATTTAGATTTGACTTAATTACAATTTTGGTCTTTTCATTTTCATATTTTTTGAGTTTTGGTGTCCTATTTTAAAATTAAGGATTTTGGTTCCTTCATTTTTATATTTTTTTAGTTTTGATTCCTCCATTTTAAAATCAAGGACTTTGGTCTCTCTATTTTGATTTTTCAGGATTTTAGTCCCCCATCACATTTTGATATCATTTTTGATAACATAGCAGGTAAAATGATGATGTGTCATAACTTAACTGACATAACTTAAATTCCACATCATTTATAATTATACTTTATTCGAATAATAATGTAAATTTTATATTTTATTTTGGAGAAATATAAGAAATATATTAATCCAAAAGCAGTTTTAGTACATACCGATCAAGAGATCCAGGAAACCCGCAAACTAAAAAACAAAACTGACCAAAATTATAAACATAACCCCCATACATGTTATGTTTCCTCTTATACTTTTTCATACACATATTAACTCTATCAGTAATGTCTCCTAGATTAAGCTCCTTTTTGGTTTTGCCTTGGAAGATAATGAGGTTACGAGTAGTCAATAGGTTGTATAGCGCTTCAGCAAACGTAACTTTTACCTTTTTACATTTCAGAGTTTTGCCTTTGGTCCTGTTTACGAACCACTTCAGATTCCACTGTCCATTAATCGGCCTCTAGTGCACTTGTAACCACTCAAACATATGGTTCCAAAGGTTCTTCGCAAACGCACAATCGTAGTAGAGATGCTTAAAACTCTTCTGAAAACCACAAAACACACAAAGCCCATCAGTATTCATGCCAAATCTATTAAGCCTGTCTTTGGTTGGGAGCCTCCCAAGACAAGTCATCCAAGCCACAAAGATTGCTCTTGGTCTCGCCTGATTTCCTAGAGTAATCTTTCTCCAGCTCGTTCTCATCTTATCCCTTCTCAGTATATCGTACACTCCCCTGGTACTGTATATGCTAGTATCATTAAACTTTTTCCACTTATCTGAATTCATTAACAGATCTTTATTCTTGAAGATAAACTTCAAGCTTCAAGAACTATGGATGGGGGCTGATAATCTTTAAAGCTGATGCCTTTCATATAGAAATGATGGATCCAATTAATCCACAACTTATCCTTTTTCGCATTCAGATTCCAGAGCATTTTACCAATCGTAGCCCGGTTCCACTCCACAATAGATATCATATTAAGGCCACCAGCAATTTTAGGGTTACAAACCTGATCCCACGCCACATGCACCTTCTTGGTTTTAATGTCACTCCCAGCCCACAAAAACCTCCTACACAGGGCCTCTATATGGTGAATAATTTTTTTGGATAGAGAAAATATTTGCATCCAGTAATTGGCTATGGCAAAAAGCACACTCTTCACAAGGAGGAACCTACCAGCATAAGAGAGGAGCCTTATACTCCAATGATTGATCATGCTGAACATTTTGTCAATAAGGGGCTTACACTACAAAACAGTTAGCTTCTTGCTGTCAAGGGGGACTCTCTGGTACTTGACAGGGAGAACACCTCTAGCAAAACCAGTTTCTTGTTGGACAGTCTTGATACTGTCTTTATCCATTCCACCACAGAATACCTTGCTCTTTTGAATGTTGACATTAAGCACTGTTATAGCAGAGAATTCCTTAACTTTCTGCATGGTGATTTTGATAGACTCAACATCTCCCCTAGCAAATAATAAAATGTCATCAGCAAAGCACAAATTAGTAATTTGTAATTTACCACACTTTGGATGAAAGTTGAAATTGTGATTTTCCCCAGGCCGTAGAAAACTCTATTCAAATACTCCATAATGACCACAAAGAGGAGAGGGGAGATAGGATCTCCTTGTCTCAACCCTCTTTAGGACTTCATGATTTTAGAAGGACTCTCATTAACAACAAATCTGTAAGAAATAGTGGACAGGCAAGTAA